TATAAAAAAAAAATATATTTTTATCTATTAAATCTATTTATTTCATTATAATGTAATTTTTATTAAAGCAGAAAGAGAGAAAAATAAATAAATAAAGTTATTTGAGTAGAATGTTTGAAATAAAAGATAAGTCTGAATGACATTTGTCAAATTTTCGAAGAATATTCTTATAATGTTCAAGAATTTGTTCTTTTAACCAAATAAATAAAATATTTTACTTTTACTGAATGAAAAAAGACGTTGTTTAACAAGTAAACGAAAATGTTTCATTTGCTCTTGATCATTTTGATTGATTGATTGAAGATAATACACTTCATAAACATGTAGTATTTCTTGCCAAAAGATATTTCATTCAATATATAAAAATAGATAAATCAAATCTTACTTTAGTTAATTTACAAACATCTCGAGCATAATCAATCATTTCTTTTGTTAATCGACTAGTTTTAAGAATTGATTCTTTTAAAAATAAATCAGGTAAATATTTATGACATAATTCAAGTGAAACAAGATCACTTAATGGAATAAATTCATCTGATGGATCTTCACCTAAAGAAAATAGAAACACAAGACAATTATTACCCATCTCAAACTATGACGATTCCTTATGAAAATTTCCTTTATGAAATGATATATAGTCAAATCAGAGGTGAAACGTCTTCTCAAAAGTTCTTGCACATTCTGCAATCATTACTAAATCGAGATATTTCCTAATTATTCATTATCGTAAATTTAGAGATAATAACTTTTTCTTATAGTATGATACCACCAAAAAAAGGAATTATTATACGGTTTTTAATACATGTTTATTCGTTAACATTAGTTTATGCAGTAATAATTAAGGCAGAAACACGCTTGAATAATCACCAAACCTATGACTTTTGTAGGTTTATTATGTACTCATTAATTTTCAATTAGTCTATCGTCGTATCTCTAAGCATGACATGGCTAAATGAAACTATTTCAATAGTAATACTAAATCAAAGAAAGTCCGAGAATGATCGAATACATATACGAAGATGTACAAAACAAGTTTTTAAGATGCACTTATTTAGAAGAAATTGTCATTTAGCTTTCTTATAGAAAAGACTTCAATACCTGTAATATCTTGAATACGAGAATCTTTTCGTAAATCATTATAGATTGCTGTTAAAAGACATCGACCATGACCTCTTCTTTGATATGGTGGTAAAATTAACATTTGACTGAAATGAGATAAGAATAATTTCCAATAAAAGAAGAAAAAAACTCACATACCTAATTCTTGGTCGTTTTTTATCTGGATAAGCATAATAACGATAAACAGTAATAAATCTAATAGGTGCATAACATGTTTGACCATTGTCATTTTGATATTGTTGATAAAGAAAATAAATAATTCAATTGGGATCATCTTTATCAATAGTTGATGTAGTATCCATAAAAAATACAAGACATGTTCGAAAACGAGTATACCATTCAACAAATTTTTCATTATCACAAAAATTTTGATTAACACGATGAATTAAATACGATATGAATTTGTCACCTTTTAATTCATATGTTAATAGTTGATCACCAAATGGTACATATACTCATGTTCATGTTTTAATTTTGATAAAAACAAGTCAAGATTTGTTGTTGTTGTAGTTGATGGTATCAATTGATTTAATGATTCAATTATGTTATCAACCTTCAAATAAAAGAAATTCATTAGAGGAAAAAAACCTTTCTTTTGTTTACTTTAAATTCTTGATCATTTTTCAAATTAATTTTCCCATCATAATTAACAGATAAATAAACGTAAAATGATGACGATAAATAATTAATAATAATCTTGAAATTTTTATATTCATATATATCTTTTTTACTAAAAAATCTTTTTGAATATATAACTAATTTATTTTTTTTACTTACTGTTGATCAAATAATAGATAAATATATTTAGGTTTAAATTCAACATTATCATTTTTTTAAATCATTTTCCGATCGAACTAGAAAAATTAATTCATTGAAATAAAAGAAAATTTTCAAGACTTACTTAATTTTAACTTAATAAAATTGTGAGGGTGTGGGTGTGGGTGTGTGGGTGTGGGCTTGAGTGAACAGAACAGGTACACCCACATCCACACCCACCCACAAACGCACATGCGCACCCGCACCCCCCNTATAATATTGTAAAATTAAGTTCTAATTGTGATTTTATTATTATAGAATGTTTGTGAATATTAGGTGAGAAATGGTTAAAGTGTATTTATCGAAGTATATAAATAATCTGTAAAAATGATCGTAGAGTTATTCTAAGTGGTTTTAAGACTAAAATAAAATAATAATAAAAAACAAAAAAAAATTCTAAAAAATTTCTCTAACCTAATTCTTGGTCTTTTTTTATCTGGATAAGCATAATAAAGATAAACAGTAATAAATCCAATAGGTGCATAACATGTTTGACCATAATCATTTTGATATTTTTGATAAAGAAGATAAATAATCCAATTTGGATCATCTTTATCAATTGTTGATGCAGCATCAATAAAAAAAACAAGAAATGTTTCAAGACGAGAATACCATTCAACAAATTTTTTATCATCACTAAAATTTTGATTAACACGATTTATTAAATATGATAAAGATTTTTCTCCTTTTAATTCATATGTTAAAATTTGTTCACCAAATGTTAAATATTCATTTTCATTCTTTAATTTAGATAAAAATAAATCTAAATTTTTTGTTGTTGATGATGATGATATCCATTGATTTAATGATTCAATTAAATCATCAGCCTTAATTATTAAAATTAATTTATTTAATAATAATAAATAAATATTTTTTATTTTTCTTACCTTAAATTGTTGATATTTTTTAGGATTTATTTTTTCATCATAATCAATATTTAAATAAAAATTTAATGATGATGATAAACAATAAATATCAATATTTAGATTTTTATATCCAAATATTCTTTCACTAAAAAAACAAATATTTTACAAGAAAAATACATTGAAATCTTTAATATAAATTATTAAATTCAATTTCAATATATTAGTTAGACGAAATTTTTTTAAATTAATTTTTAACATATTTTATTTATAATTAAAACAAGATAAATATTAACAAAATTTTTGTTGAAACTTAATTCTTAAATTAATACATTCAAATATAATATTTTAATAAAAACTCGAATATATCATCACTTAATTAATATAGATAACTCTACACAACATTATACAATCTATCAGAGATAATTAACTCAACAAATTTTCAAACATTATTATTATTATTATTTAAACAAACATTTTTTATTTTACTCTTAAAACCACTTAGAATAACTCTACGATCATTTTTACAGATTATTTATATACTTCGATAAATACACTTTAACCATTTCTCACCTAATATTCACAAACATTCTATAATAATAAAATCACAATTAGAACTTAATTTTACAATATTATACGTTAGTATAGGCATAGATATATTATCAACCTGAAAGATTCTACAGTCTATGATTTTCAGTTACATCAAATATGAAAATATTTTTAAATATTTTCCTAACACTCCATATATAGAATTTTGTTACATCATCATCATCATCATCATCAAGAGAGAGAGAAATGCTCAATGTATTTCGATGAATATTTCAAGTAAATTATTGTTGAATTCAACTTTGAGATATAACATCGATGAGAATTCAATTTATTATTATGTGTAATCAATAAAATGATAACTCTAGAGGTTAATATTAGTTATCGAAATAACTTTGAAATTGTTTTCAAACTTGTCTAATACTCTTTAAATAATTAAGATAAATTTTTTAGATTTAATTTATTATATCAGATGAAAATATGTTCGTTTAGATTTTAATAGAGATATTAACACTGATTCAATTCAAATTGATAATTTATTTTTAAAAAAATCAAAAACTCAGTCAGTTTCAATAGACAAATAATAAAATTTACTTTTCTCCAAAAATTTGATGCGTAAATTCCGGTGAAAATTCATTTTCTTCATTATTTAAGTCTTTTTCCGATCGAACTAAAATAAATAGATTTTATAATCATATATAAACAAAACAAAAAAAACCTTTCAAAAACTAACTTAATTTAAATGAAATAACTTCATTAGCCGAACAATCAAATATTCGTAATGGACCAGGAAGAAGAAAACCTTTTAAAAAAACAAAAATAATAATCGGGTGTTTTTTTTGTTTTGTTTTGTTTTATATCCGTTTCTTTGTTAAAATATATTTACCTTGTTCGTTAATATCCATATAATTGTTTTCCGAATGAAATGATATATCGAAAAACTAAACAATATATATATATATATATATATAGATTAAAAAAAGATTTTTAACACATTAATGCATTAATAAAATAAATATGATTGGTTTATTTTTCTGAACTAAATATTCATTCTATATCATCATCATCATCAATATTCAGTTAATCTTATTTTGAATAGAAAAACAAAACAAAACAAAACAAAACAAAAGAATATGTCCGACATAGAAAAACTTTGTTCAATAATAGAAAATCGTCCTGATAATAATTCTATAGGTCGTTTAACATATTTATTAAATACAGATGAAACAATTGATCATGAAAAAATTCTTAATCAATGTGGAAAATATTTAAGTGGAATTAATTTAGATGAATTTTTTGAATTTATTCTTAAAAAAAATCAAATTAATTTTATTGAAAAATATCTTAAAAATATTGAAGATATTAGTGAAAAACAATTAATACAATCATTAAATTTAACATTTGATTATTTATTATTAATATTAAAAAAACCTTATGATTATTGGTCATTAACAAATTCTATGAAATTATATTTAAATTCATCAAAATCTGTTGAACTTGCTGAACAACTTGTTTCATATTTAAGTCATTTTCAACAACCAACATCAGCGATTATTGATTGGCTTTGTGCTTTAATTGATGCACATTTTTCATCATTTGTTCTTGCCAAATGGAATAAAATTCATTTTATTGAAAAATTTGTTCAAAATCGTTTAAATACCTTTGATTTACTTCAAGGTCTTAATACCATTAAAAAAACAACAACACCACCACCAACAACAACAACAACAACAACAACAACAAATAAAAAAACTCTTGACAATCTATATATTCTTCAAAGGATTCATTTTAAATAAAGAAAATCTTTGTTTTTCTTGTTTTTGTTTCCCATGACAACATTCATTTTTTTTATTTTCATTTATGAGAATTCAAATGAGACGAGCGAGAGAGAGAGAGAGACAGAGTCCGACCCGACTGCAGGTGACTTACGGATAGACATAAAATCTTATTACAACGCCAAATTAGTTCTTTTTTCTTTTTCTCTTTCTTTTTTTTGTTCCTTTCCTTTCTCTTATAAAGATACCATTCATATGCGTTTTTTTTCTGTTCTGTTGTATGTCTTTATGACTTATTATAGATGGTATAGAGTTTGTCGTTCTAGTCAATGGTTGGTGCAATGGGAACTCGTCGTTTGTCGATAAATGTTGTTCCCCGTGAAAAATGGTCTTTAAAATCGTTATTTCATTCCCAATTTGATTTACCTACAATAGAAAGAAAATACAATTTAAATTATTTAAAAAAAATTTATCCATCATATCATCGTTTATTGGTCGTTATATTAATCAGTCATGCATTAATTAATTCAACTGAAATATTTATATTTAAATCAATATCAACAAAAAAAATAATAATTCAATTATCTTTATTATCAACAAGTATTTGTCTAAATATTTTATCATTAATTTTAATAAATCGTTTACGAAATAGAATTTTATCAAATATAATATCTTTCATATGTATTTTCCCATTGGTTGTTTTAACTTGTTTATATCCATTAGAATGTCATATATATTTGTTAATTATATTAATATATACATTAGCAAATTTTTCTTTACTTCTATCGATTTTAATATCAGTTTTAATAACGTTAACTATAACTATTTTTACATTAACATCAAAAATGTCTTTACTATTATTATTAATATCAAATATAATTGGTATTTATTTAAATCGTCTTTTGGATATAATTATGCGTTCTTCCTACAATCAATTATGTAAAAGTAAGTTTATTTTTATGAAAAATAAATTTTAAATAAAATAAAAAATAAAAAATAAAAAATAAAAAATAAAAAATAAAAAATAGATGCAAATGTTCGTGGTACATTATTAAGTGAACATACATTAATATCAAAAATGATTGATTCATTAATGCCACGTAAATATGCTAAAGTAATAATGGAAGATTTTGATGTATTTCGTGAACGTGTACAAAATGTTAATTTATCTCGTCAAGGTGAAGATGATTTACAAATGGCTACTTTTCGCCCATTACATATTGAAAGAATGGAAAATGTTTCAATATTATTTGCTGATATTGTTGGTTTTACTTCAATGTCATCAAATAAAAGTGCATCACAATTAGTTTCATTATTATCAGATTTATATGGACGATTTGATGATTTATGTGTTCAAATGTCATGTGAAAAAATTGCTACATTAGGTGATTGTTATTATTGTGTTAGTGGTTGTCCTGAACCACGAGAAGATCATGGAAAAGCTTGTGTTTTAATGGGTTTAGCAATGATTAATGCTATTGAAGAATTTGATGAAGATAATAATGAACAAGTTGATATGAGAGTTGGTGTTAATTCAGGTTCAGTTAATTGTGGAATTGTTGGAACAAAAAAATTTAAATTTGATATTTTTTCAAATGATGTTACATTAGCAAATAAAATGGAATCAACTGGAAAACCAGGTAAATTATATAATTTATATTTATTTATTTTATTTTTTTTTTATCTTTCTTTTTTACTTAAATTAATTTATTTTTTCCTTAAAGGTTTTTTAACCCCATCTTAAATAAATGTAGAATATGGTCATTGCTCGCTCAGCTAGAATGTTTTATTAATTGATAAATTAAATTTCTTATTTTATTTTATTTTTTTAATTTTAATTAATGTAGGTTTTGTTCATATAACAGAAGCAACTCATACATTACTTAAAGAAGATGAATTTAAATTTGAAGAAGGTTCACCATATATTTTACCAGGCCAAAGTTTTTATTTTTATTTTTTTTTTCTATAAAATAATTTAATTTTTTTTTTTAATTTAGATTCAATAAAAACATATTTTATTGGAAAACGTCATTTAACTCATAGAATAACACGAAAACCACCACAGATGACATTAGCAACTGCTGCAGCTGTTGCCGTTGCATCAGGAGTTTCACTTGCTGTACCTTTAAATGAAACTAATGAAGTTCAAAATCAATCTGAATCATCAGTAAGTTTAGTTTTTAGTTTTTTTTTTTGTTTAATTAAAAATAAAATAATTTAAAGCCAGTAACAAGTCCATTATTAGAAGAAGTTGCACAAGCTCGTCGAGCAACAATATGCGAAGAACAAAGTCCAGCTGGTTTAGAAAATCTTGGACATGTTGAAAATGTTAATGAAAAAACTTTTGAAAAGGAAGAAAAAGAATTAGTTATGGCATTTAATATATTAACATTAAAATATAAAGATAATCGATTAGAAAAAGGTTTTTCCACTCATGTTGGTCCATATTCATTATTAATTGTTGAAGTTATTTTATCTATTTTATCACTTTTATTTATTTATATTTATTTTCCAAAAAAAAGTTTAACATCAATAATTATGGGAATAATAATTGGTATAAAATTAATTATAACATTGATTTTGATTCGTTTTCATCGTATTTTTCTTAAGCGGTGGATTTTAAGACATTTTATAGCTGCTTTTTATCTTTTATCTCCTTTAATTATTATTTTAATTGAAATTTCTAATTATTACGATATGACTCGATCAGTTTTTATTCTTTTTATTTCAACTTATCTTATCTTAGGTGCATCTTTATCTCATTTGATTAAAATTCTTATTGCCATTTTATCTATTTCAATTTATCTTCCTTTGATTATTTTTGAAACAAAAATGAAAAGTTTGTTTAAATTAAATAATAATAATAATAAAAAGAAAAATAATAAATTTTTTTTTTGTTTTTTTTTTTATTTCTCTTTTAGCAGCCGATATTATGGATACAAGTGTATGTATATTAATATCATTGATAGTTTTATATGGAATAAGTCGTCAAGTAGAAGTAGCTCGTCGTTCTCAATATCATGTTATTCATAAATCTTCCGAACAAAGAAGTGAAATAGAAAAAGAACGTAAACGTGCTGATTGGCTTTTAAGAAATATTTTACCCGAACATGTTATAGAACCGTTACGTCTTCTTGGTGGTTCATATTCTCGTAATCATCCATGTGTTGGTGTTCTTTTTGCATCATTAATCAATTTTCATGTTATGTATGAAGAACAATATGAAGGTGGAAAATTTTATGCGAGAATTTTAAATGAATTTTATGGAGATATTGAAGAATTATTTCTTGATCCAAGATTTTCAAAAATTGAAAAAATAAAAACAATTGGATCAACATTTATGGCTGCGTCAGGATTACAAACAGATTCAAATGATCAAAATCCACTTGGTAAAAAATATTTTATTTTATTCTCAAAAAAAAAAAGAAAAATAT